TACGCGTGTACGTGTGTGTGTGTCTACGCGTGTACGTGTGTGTGTGTGATTTGATTTATTGCCACATGTACCTAGGTACAGTGAAAAGTTTTGTTTTGTGTGCAGTACAGGCAGATCATACCATACAAAGTGCATTAGGGTAATAGAACAGAGCAAGGAGTACAAAGTTACAGCTGCAGAGAAGGTGCACAGAGAGCAAGAGGTCACAAAATTTGAGTGATCCATTCAGAAGTCCAATAACAACAGGGAAGAAGCGGTTCTTGAACCTGTTGGTATGTGTGTTTAAGCTTTTATATCTACTGCCTGACGGAAAGGCTCAAAGAGATTATAACCAGGATGGGAGGGGGCTTTGATGATGTTAGAGACAAAAAAGCTGCAGATGCTGGAATCCAAGGTAGACAAACAGGAGGCTGGAAGAACACAGCAAGCCAGGCAGCATCTGTAGGAAAGGAGTAGTCAACGTTTCAGGTATTACCCTTCTTCAGCACTCAGTCCTAAAGACCCAAAACATTGGCTGCTCCTTTCCTCCAGATGCTGCCTGGCTTGCTGTGTTCTTCCAGCCTCCTGTTTGTCTACCTTTGATGATGTTGGCTGCCTTTCCATGTGTGTGTGCCAGTCTGTGCAGGCACGTGAAGATGGGGGAAGAACAAAGAGACGGTTGCAACTGTCCTGTCCCCTTTCCCCTACGCTCCTGTCCCCAATCTCTGAGCACAGACTGCATTTACCTCCGCACCTCCCCAGCTTTCTCTACCCAGGGTGCTGCCCTCTGACCTCCGTGGTCTAGACTATTTCACCTTCAGCTAATTGCTTTCATAAAATGTTGCTATCCTTGACAACCCCAGCATTGAAGACCCGTCAGAAATAAGAACAAAGAGTAGGCCCGTTCAATACAATCTTGGCTGATCTGACACTCCTCACACCCGGTTTCCTGAAATTTCCCCGTAACCCTCAATTCCCTGACTGATCCATCTCAGCCTTTAACTCGGCGATAGTTCTCTGTGGCCAGGAGATCCAAAAGACTCTCACAACCTTAAATGCCGCCCATCCCTGCCTGCCCTTGAACTGACTGGCTTGCTCAGCTATTTCAGCCCCATTAACGCGTCTGGAGGGGAGGAGGCAATGGTCAAGTGGTATTATCACTGGACTGTTAATCCAGAGACCTGGATAACATTGCGGGGACCTGGGTTCGAATCCAGCCACGGCAGATGGTGGAATTTGAATTCAATAAAAATATCTGGAATTAAGAGTCTAATGATGACTGTGAATCCATTGCCGATTGTTGGGGAAAAACCCATCTGGTTCACTAATGTCCTTTAGGGAAGGAAACTGCCATCCTTATCTGGTCTGGCCTACATGTGACTCCAGACCCACAGCAATGTAGTTGACGCAGAGGGCAATTAGGGATGGGCAATAACTGGTCAGCGCCGCCCTCATCCCGTGACTGAATAGGCCAGACTGGGTAAGGACTGCAGATTTCCCGCCCTAAAAAGGGCATTAGTGAGCCCAGTGGGGTTTTAAACCAGCTGCAAATGGTGGGGTTCGAACCCACATCCTCGGAGGAATCAAGCTGGGGTCTGAGGATTACTGACCCAGTGGCATTACCGCCGTGCCATCCTCACTCAGCCAGCCTGGAATCTAAAATGTCAGCATTTACAGTAATCCCTACAGCGTACCCACCGCCAGAACTGTCCAGCAGGCTCTTTGCGGACTGTTCCAATTGCTGAACATCTGTAACACCCACACTCCGAGCCTGCTCATCAGCTTCCACCTCCGGCTTCGGAGATCCCATCGTCAGGCCAACGCTGCAGGGTTTTGGGAATTCCTCAGCCTCCAGTTGGTGGTTCTGTCCCCCCGGGATTCTCGCCTCGTGCCCCGGGCTCCGGATGCTCACGTTCTTTGGCTCCTTCAAACTGCCCGGATCTCCAGCTTGCATCTTGATGACCAGCTCCGCCTGGAGATCCTTCCCAGGCTCGGCCTCGCCTGCAGCTGGCGAAGGCGGCAGCTCTGCATCGATCGGAGAACTATCCCGGTCTCCTGAAGGCGCTCCGTGGATTTTCTCCAACGGCGGAGGGAACATCTCCACCGGTTTCTGCCGCACTGTAGTAACCAGCTGATCACCTTCGCGTGCGCTCTCAGCGGGCACCTCATGGCTTTGGAAAACAGCACCCACTGCCTCATCCTCAGGGTGCAAGCCTTTGTCTCGGGAACATTCGGAACTTGTAACTGGAGGGTCCGGGGGCTCAGAACATTCTGGCTTTGCAGGGGCCCTTGCTTCACCAGGACTTTCCGAATCAGATGGTGCAATGTCCTCCTGCTCCTGCTCCATCGGCTCCTCGTCTTCCTTCGGTTGCATTTCTTTGCGGAGTGTCGCAGAAGCTTCGAGAGGGAGGGTCACTCCCTGGGCACTCTCGCTCCCCTCCTCTTGGACGGTTTGCCTCACCTCATGCTTCTCCAGACTTGGAGCCCTGGGTCCAGCCTCCACCTCTTCCGTCGGAGCCTCGTTTGCTGTTCTTCCTCTCTCCGTGAGTGAGCCTTTGGGCAGGTCGCCATGGGGAGAGCCGGGGCGAAGGAGGCGAGAGGGTCTGAGGCAGGAGGGTGACGGTTGGCTCAATTGCCAGGGTCTGCCAGGCACCTCACCCGCGCCACGCTCAGCCTCCGCTCTCTCGCCTTCCGGAGCATCTGTAACCGAGGCCTCGGAAGCTTGAAGGCTCAGTGCTTGGCTCTCTCCCGTCAATCGGAGGTGAATGCTGTGGCTCCCCTCCAACTCGCCTTCCTCGGTAGGGGTCATACCCGTTCCTCCTTCGATCTGTGTAGCCTGGCTGTCTTCCTCAGTCAGGATCTCGCTGTCGTCCGTCTCCATTGGCTGCAAGCACCCGCTGGCAGACAGTTTCAGCTCGAAAGGCTCCCCGGCCCCATTGTTGCGCTTCTTGACACCCCCGAAGTCTGAGCTCCCAGTCCGGCCCCAGTTTTGCCTCTCCCCCTCCTCCTCCTCCTCTCTGTCCTCGGGCATCCTGGAGGGATTTCCCATCGAAGGTGCAGTCGACCTGACCCCTTCATCACAGCCACTTCCTTCCCTCAAGCTGGGTGTGGGCACAAAGATATCCTTCAAAAACAAACACATTGCTGTTAGTTCACCAGCTGAAGAAAGCAGTAACTCAGATAAAACTCAGAAACAAAAACAGAACCGCTATGAAGGAGGGTCAACTGGACCCGAAACGATAACTCTGTTTCTCTCTCCACAGATGCTGCCAGGACCTGCCGAGTTCCTCCAATAATTTCTGTTTTTGTTTCCAATTTCCAGCCTCTGAGGTTCTTTCAATTTTGGTTTTTTTTTAGTTCAGTGTTTAACTCGGATAAAATATCTCGTTTGACGTACAAATACTGCATAAAAGGAACAGGAGGGAGCGAGGAGGGGACAGCATTTTGTCTCTGAGGCAGGAGGATGTGAGGGATTGGAGTTCGGAATTCTCGGGTTAACACAGCAGTGCCTGGCAATGGGATCGCTGCCCTGGCAGAAAGACCACCTTTCAGATAAGATGCACCAACATTGGAATTGCCCCTGCTGGGGGGAGTGGGGGCTGATGAAAAAAATCTCTATTCCAAAGAACAGCAGGGAGTTTTACCCCACATCATGACAAATGTTTATCCCTCATTTCATTGCGAAAACAAGACCATACAACGATCATTGAATCATTACAGCACAGGCAAAGACTATTCGACCCACTGAGTCTGTGCTAGCCCATGTGGGCAGCAATCCATGCCAATGGCGAAGATTAAATTCCTCACTGACGTGGACGGAGCTCCCTTGTGCAATTTGGTTGCCACGTAACAACAGGGGCTACATTTTTATTTTTTTAAAAATTGCATCTACAGGAGGACATTCAGCCCATCAAATATGTTGCACCATTTAGTTAGATCATGGCTGACCTCCACCTCAAGCCCATTCACTTCCCTTTGCTCTGCACAGCCCCCGATCTGACAAAAATCTTATCATTCCAAGTTTTGAAAGTTCCAGCAGACCCTAGGATCAAATTAACTACGAGTTGCTCACTGTTAATGGCTTGTAAATAACATTCAAAGAGTGGCTGGATCAGTTAGGATTATATTCACTGGAGTTTACAAGAACGAGGGGGCATCTTATCGAAACCTACAAAACTCTAACAGGACTAGACAGGGTAAACACTAAAAGGAATATTCCTGATCATCAGGGGACCCCAGAACCAGGGGGTCACAGTCTCAGGATTGGGGTAAGACTAAGAGAAGGAGGGGATAGGGCTAAGAAGAGGAGGGGGTAAGACTAAGTTAAGGAGGGGGTAGGCCATTTCAGATGGAGATGAGGAGAAATATCTTCAGCCAGAGAGTGGAGAGCCTGTGGAATTCACCGCCATAGAAAGCAGTGGAGACTAAAACATTGAACATTTTCAAAAAAAAGTTAGATATAGTTCAGTTTCAAGGGATCAGAGGATATGGGGGGAAGAAAGCAGGAACAGGGGACGGAGTTGGATGATCAGCCATGATCAAAAAAAATCGGGGGATCACTGCATTTCTGGCACAGATTCAACTTTAACCCACATCACAGGAAATTCACAGTTATTGAGTCAAGTAAAGGTGCTTTTTACAGACAAGACTTCTGACCCTGTAGCGTCACCAACATCTCCCCAGCGATATGGGGGAGGGGTGGGGCACAGAGCTTTGTAAACCTTCACCAAGCCCCGGGCACTTACATGGGACAGGTCTGGCAGTGACGGCACAGGGAGCAGCTGTCCCGCTGTGAAAACAGGAACGCTCTCGGACACTGGGGTCGAAGACTGCGGAGCTCGGACTAGAGCACACTCGGTCTGCTCCAACGGCCGGTCCATTTCCATTGGCTCCTCCTCCTCACACGGAGCTTTTCCCGATTGGCTGGCAGCTGGCACGGAGGTATCCATTGGCTCCTCTGCTGGAACAAAATATTTCTCTCAGCTGGAGTCTTGTACTCTGTTCGTTTCTATTTCCTCCTCGGAATTTGTAACAAAGGTAGTTTTTATTTTAGATCACTCGAAGCAGAACACACCTTGCCACGGCAACCACTTCAACTGATCTAGCATCTATCTAACCCCGTGCTGTCCCTGTCCTGGGAGTGTTTGATGGGGGACAGTGTAGAGAGAGCCCTACTCTGTATCTAACCACGTGCTGTCCCCTTGATGGGAGACAGTGTAGAGAGAGCCCTACTCTGTATCTAACCACGTGCTGTCCCCTTGATGGGAGACAGTGTAGAGAGAGCTTTACTCTGTATCTAACCACGAGCTGTCCCCTTGATGGGGACAGTGTAGAGAGAGCTTTACTTTCAATTTAAAAGAGTAAAGGGAGCTGTGTCTCTGTGTCCTTTATAACAAAGTGCATCACCTCACACTTCTCCATATTTCATTTTATCTGCCTCCTATCCACCCACTCTACCAAATTTTCTCTGGCCTTCTGAATTTCTACACCATCCCCTCACAGTTTACAATTCTCCCACTCTCATATCTTAAATACAGCTACAACAAATGGAATTAAAACTGCTGTCCCCGATGACCATGTTACTAAAGATCCCATGCCCAGTGTGGCTCTGGGCTGTAGGAACAAAGCAGTTCCCCAGTCCATGCAGTTACTTTGGTCTTAATGAGCCATGGTTATCGTATACCCAAGACCAGGTAGGTTTCAAGTCAGTCAGGGTTCCTTTCTAAAAACCAAAAGAACTGCGGATGCTGTAAATCAGGAACAAAAACAAAGTCGCTGGAAAAGCTCAGCAGGTCTGGCAGCATCTGCGCAGGAGAAAACAGAGTTAACGTTTCGGGTCCGGTGACCCTTCCTCAGTTCTGAACCTCAGTTCAGAACCTTTAAACCTCAGTTCAAAGTTCTGAGTCTTCCTGCCAGACCTGCTGAGCTTTTCCAGCAACTTTGGTTTTGGTTAGGGTTCCTTTTCTAGATGACTATAGAATCATAGAATAATACAGCATGGCAACAGACCCTTCAGTCCAACTGATCCATGCTGACCATGGTCCCAAACTAAACTAACCCCACTTGCCTGTGTTTGGCACATTTCCCTCTAAACCTTTCCTATTCATGAACTTTGTCTAAAAAACTTTTAGATATTGTAACTGTATCTGCATCTGTCAATTTCTCTGGCAGTTCATTCCACCCACAAACCAATCTCTATGTAAGAAAACTGCCCCTCATTTTCTTTTAAATCTTTCTCCTCTCACCTTAAAAATATGCATCCTAGTCTTGAAATCCCCCACTCTAGGGAAAAGACACCCGCCATTAACTCTATCTATACCCCTCTTTATTTTATCAAACTCTATAAAGGTCACCCCTCAACTTCCTACATTCCAAAGAAAAAAATTCCAGTTTTTCTAATCTTTACAATATCTCAAAACCTTCCATACCCAGCAACATCCTGGTAAATCGTTTCTGAACCCTCTCCAGCTTAATACTATCCTTTCTATAACAGGGCAACCAGAACGGGGCACAGTATTCCAGAAGAGGCTTCACCAATGTCCTGTGCAACCTCAACATGACGTCCCAACTCCTATCCTCAGAAGTCCTCGGATGGTGGTGGCTAGCACGAAGGGACATAGCTTTAAATTGAGGGGTGATAGATATAGGACAGATGTCAGAGGTAGGTTCTTTACTCAGAGAGTAGTAAGGGCGTAGAATGCCCTGCCTGCAAAAGTAGTAGACTCGCCAACTTTAAGGGCATTTAAATGGTCATTGGATAAACATATGGATGATAATGGAATAGTTTAGGTTAGATGGGCTTCAGATTGGTTTCACAGGTCGGCGCAACATCGAGGGCCGAAGGGCCTG